TGTGCGCGCGCGTGTGTGCGCGCGCGTGTGTGCGCGCGCGTGTGTGCGCGCGCGTGTGTGTGCGCGCGCGTGTGCGCGTGTGCGTGCGTGTGCGCGCGTGCGCGTGCGCGTGCGCGCGTGTGCGCATCCACTGCATAGAGGATGTAATTTATTGCCAATAGCAACAAGATTTATCCAATTACTTGATATCAGATACCCATAATACGAGTTTGTTGTTGAAAATCGCCACTTTGCGCTGGATCCCTGGAGCATTACAAAACGTCTATGTAAGTAACGCAAAAGTAAAAAGCGCAATTGGGTCGTGTGAATAAAAGCAAATGATTTATTGGAAGCTTTTTAAATAAATACTTATGTTGCAGTGAATAGAAGTTAAGTACTAGCTTTTACCTGTAAATACTTAATCTCGTTGCAAGAACTTATATTTTCAGCATTTAATTAAAAAGTAAATACCGCGCAATTTGTGAGCTGTGCAGTGACAACGCAGTGACAGTTTTTCCTGTCAACATCAGTGTGTGATTGTGTTTGGAATAATAGAAATTGTGTATTTGCGTTTGAATGAGCATACGAGAACAAATTAATCGTATTATAGTAATTGCAGCTGTATTCTTGAACTTATGAATACCCAAAAAAGTACTACACTCGTTTTGTTACATCTGAAACAGACAGGTGCAACCATTAGCGAGAATGGATTTCATTTTGTAAGGACATGAAGGGGTCAGTGCCCCACCACCCCGTGGCGCCCACCTGTTCTGCCCCTCTGTTACAAGAAAATACAAGATGCATACATAATATTTGCGCATCTGAGTTTTACTTTCTCACTACTGCTGATACAGTACGAGTATAAAGAAGTGTGTCTGTAGGAAAACGGCGAATTTTCGATAGAAAAACTTTTTGCCAGGCTCTAGTATCGAGAAGGTGATTAAATCTTAGCCCTATATATCCCTAAAGAAAATTGTTTTTAACATGCTGTGTAGTCAGAATCCATGTTTTGTGTGTCCGCCGAAAAATCAACTGACTGCCAAACGTTCGTCCATCATAGTAGAAATGTGCCGTACAAATGTGAACAATTCTAGCTGATAAACCCTAAGCAGGATTTTTACCACAGTTGTTACTCCTCAATGGATCTGGCTGATGTTGTGGCACCTTGAATTTGAAACTGATATTTTCATTTTGAGTGTACTTTACGTAATACCTCAACATTTTCAAAACGATTATCCCTTTTTTGGATTAAATTTTGCCATTGTAAGCGTAAAGCTTACGTTAAAGAAATGGTGCAGCTCTCATTTCCGTTAAAATAATCGAATTTTCGAAAATTGCAAAATTTCGGATTTTTTGTCTTTCTACAATTACAATTATGAAGACAAATGTTTTTCTTAATTAAATCTGTTCATCAAAACCCGATCTTTAAATACGGTCGTGTTCAAATTTTCAAAAATAGATTTTGCGTAATTTTGCTTTAAATCGAAAGCAAATGTGCTATAAAAACAATGCTTGAAATAATTTAAACAATTCACGCCAATTTTTTTCAAAAACTGCTTCAATTGTTTTTCCTAGTATGTAGGAAACGGATATTAAGGTAGTAGTGAAGTCCAATTTTCGGCGCTCTCTTTGTAT